ATTTTTATAATAATTATAAATGTTGATTAATAGAATGCATTGCAAAAGAAACAAAATGCATTAAAATAAATCTCTGATTCAATATGAGCAGATGCAATACGAGACTTTTCTCTTTTATAATAATTATAAATGTTGATTAATAGAATGCATTGCAAAAAAACCAAAATGCATTAAAATAAATCTCTGATTCAATATGAGCAGATGCAATACGAGACTTTTCTCTCGATTTAACTTAAAACACAACATTGATTTAAGTTTAATTGTACAGAGGACAACATTTGTGCCCTCTTTCTTGAATTTGGAGGCATTTTTGCTCTTTTTTTTGCCCTCAAGCACCTGTAATTTCCGACGCCGGCTGGAGATTTAAATGAGCGGCTCAAACCTCAAATCTTCCTAAAAATACTGAGTAAAAATCATTTTTTGCAGTGTTAAAAAAAAAAAATTATATATATATATATATATTGTTGATTATTGCTCTCGATATTGTAATAATGATTATCAATGTTGACTAATAGAATGCATAAAAATGGTTAATGCTGGAAAAAACTATGCATGAAAATAAATCTTTGATGCAACGTGAGCAGATTGACTCTTTTCATTTCATTTTCACATTTCACTTAAATCGAAACACATGTAATAGATTTAGTGTAATTGTGCATGGGACCATTTTTGTCCCTTTTTCTTGAATTTGGAGGCATTTTTGCTGCATTTTTTGCCCCAAGCACAACTGGAGATTTAAATGAGAGGCTCAAACCGGCCAAGAACGCGAAAGCAAAAATCAACCTCGTATTATCCAACAGATCAAGAGCGGCGCAGGAAATCCACCAATCACTCCATTAGCAGCAGGACGCGGGAGATCGGTGTGTTTAGCGGCCCTCAGAGGAGCGCTGGTGTTGGATCGGGTGTCCAACATTCATCTTCTTTAAACGCTCGGATATTCGGGGCGCATTCCAGGCCATCATTAGCGTTGGGTTTTGATGTTGCGGTCATTCATCACGGTCCGAGGGGTCGTGATTACCGTCGCTACGAGTTCTGCTGACGTTAAACAAATGCTGCGAGGAGTTCGGAGCGATTCGGCACATTACTGCGCCACTTATGTGTGATTATCTCAAGTAGGCTGAAATACATTAGCGGCGTATCAGACTTCCCGTGAGGAACGCACGTGATCCGGAGAATCCAGAGAACGCAGTTTTTAGTGCAACTCAACACTATAAATACGGCTGGTGAAATACATACGACAGCATGTCTTTGTATTAACAATAACATCTGCTAGTGGACTTATTGCAGCATGTATTAGCAGGGTTGGGAGGGTTACTTTTAAAATGTATTCCGTTACTGTTACAAATTACTTCATTAAAAAAGTATTCAGTAACGTAATCCAATTACCACAATTTAAAAGTAATGTAATCGGATTACTTTTGGATTACTTCAAGTTACATATGTTAATAAGTCAAAAAAGCAATATCTAAGTATTTTATTTAACTATGACTTTAAAATTAAAACTAATAAAAACTATAGTAAAAACTATTTGAAACTATTAAAAATCGTCTCGTTTCACCATCTAGATATTACAGCCTGTATATTTATATAAAAGGCTATGCAGACATCTAGTGGCTATACAGTTTAGTATTACAGTTTTATTATTATTTTTCTTTTTTTTTCTTTAACATGTACAAGAAAAATAAATATAGTTTATACACAACATTAAAAAAATTACACCATATACATATTAGCCTATTTTAAAATAAGCCAACATGTCGAAATGCATGTGAAATGCTATCTTTCTTTATTTCATTGACTGATCCGGGGTGTGGGGACTCTCATGTTAATTTCTACATTTTCAGGCTCATTTTCCGCTAGAAAACTTACAACTGCAGTCATGCAAACCATGGAATTTTAAATCACTAACAAACACAACTTTCTTTAACATGTACAAGTAAAAATAAATATAGTTTATACACAACATTAAAAAAATTACACCGTATACATATTACTGTATTTTAAAATAAGCCTAACGTTACATGTCGAAATGCTATCTTTCTGTATTTCATTGACTGATCCGAGGTGTGGGGACTCTCGCATTAATTTCTACATTTTCAGGCTCATTTTCCGCTAGAAAACTGACAACTGCACTCATGCACACCATGGAATTTTAAATCACTAGCAAACACTAAATTTTAGCTAACGATGATTTCCATGCTAGTCGGTCTCGTATCTGCAAATGTTCAAGCTGTTTGAGTAGCCTTTGTTAAAGCAAGAGTCAATGTTATTTCCTTTATCCTTTTTGAAAACAAAATAACTGTGAAATTTCCAGACATTAAAACGTTTTTCACAGCAGGAAGCATCGTGATTAATTTACTGTAGCAGCGTCTCATCCCGCGCTTGAGGAGAATAATTGTAGACGGGTGTCATTTGCGCACGCACCAGCAGATGGCTCACGCGAGTCAACATGAGTGTCAACAGAACCAGGAACTGATGAAGCAGCGCTAAATATATAGCGTTATGTCAAAATACTTATTTATTTAATTTTAAATGAAACAAATGCAATCCTGATAGTATTCCCACTTTTTACAAAATGTAACTGTAATCTGAATACTTTGTTTTTTGATGTAACTGTATCGGATTATAGTTACTAGATTTTTGTATCCTGATTACGTAACGCCGTTACATGTATTCCGTTACTCCCCAACCCTGTGTATAAGACAGTGTTAATCACTGATTTCAGGGCGTTTTAAGGCTTTAGAGGTTGAAGTTTGCGGTCAAGAAGCATCACACGCATCCTTCAGTCACTTTAACTCACTGCTGCCAAAGAAACACTAAAGTGACTTTCAGAGACGCGGCTCGTTTCAGCCAAAACCTGCAGAGATGAAGCGTGGATGTGTCCGAGATGACCGCTGGACACTAGCACAGCGTCCTAACTAGTGCTAGTTCATTACAGGCCGATGCGGATTTACAAGCATTCTAATATGCTGCCTAAGAAACGTATTTGTGCTGTTTAATACTTACACTGAGAAATTAATACTTGTATTCATCAAGGATGCATTGAATGGATCAAAAGTGACAGTAAAGACATTTATAATGTTACAAAAGATTCTATTTCAGATAAATGCTGTTCTTTTGAACTTTCTGTTCATCTGTGAATCCTGAAAAATAAAATGCATCACGGTTTCCACAAAAATATTGTGCAGCACGACTGTTTTCAACATTGATAATAATCAGAAATGTTTCTTGAGCAGCAAATCAGCATATTAGAATGATTTCTGAAGATCATGTGACACTGAAGACTGGAGTAATGATGCTGAAAATACAGCTGCGCATCACAGGAATAAATTACAGTTTAAAAGATATTCACATAGAATACAGCTATTTTAAACTGTAATAATATTTCACATTTTGTATTGTA